AATAATATTGCTTTGTAGTTAATAATTATTTGCAACTGATAGGCCCATGGGTTGTAAAAAAGTGTATTGTAATAATCCTCTTTTGAAAATTAATGTTGAGTTATTTTGAGTATATCAGTGGTTAACATACATGCAATAATTAAAAAATATTAATTAATAAAAAAATACGTCATAACGTATTTTATAAGTACTAAATTTGACAAAAAGTAATTTTTTTATATACGTATTATGTCGTTTTTTTTAAATGACCGATTCAATTAAAAATAATATATTTATAATTATTCTACATAAAACTTTGTGTAATTGCTTTTTTTGCGTAAATAACTACAATTTAAAAAAAGAATACTCTTGTTTTGTTTTTGCGTTTTTAGTGACATAAAAACAACTTCCTAGTCTAATTTTAGAGGAAAAAATATGAGCAGCTTACTTTAAATTTTACAAAAAAAAATCATTAGTTTATTTTTTTTATTTTCCATTTTGTATAAATTAAATTTTTTTTTTAGATATTGTGTTAAAAGTTATGTAGACTCGATTTCACATTTCTACTTAATAGTTAATACCTATATACAGTTTTACCTACAATACATATGCTAAAAATGATAGAGGAAATCGTTTGCATAACAATATGCAATCTTATTCACCGAATAATAGATAATATATTCATAATGCACTTAACACTTTACAGCCTGAGGCTTATACTATAAGAACAATATTTTTGGAGTACCTACATTCTATTTGGTATAAATAACAAGATACAGTCTTCAAATTGCGTTTATTGCCCAACGTTTCAGACTTCATTTATTATTTCGTATGAACAATTTTTTCATTAATTTCTCATTAGTTTTTGGTTTTTTTAGGAACTAAATAGCTGCTACCAGCAAAATAATGACGTAATTCGTTATTTTAAATTATTTTCAAAGTACGAGTAAACGTTCTAAAACAAAATTACACGGGAAATACAATTATAAATTTCAGTGTACAGAGTACTCTAGAGCCTAGAAGGACAAATACTGCATATTTAAAAGGATTTTACTATCCATAAGAGATCTATTCTCTTTTAAATGTATTATCACTAGAATTGTGACTTATCTAAATAAAATAGTCCAGGATAAGGCTTTATTTACAGGTAAATTGATAACATAGGTTGATAACTAATAATACCCAACAATGACATTATAACATACCAGACATCAATGGCGTAAACAGATATTTTTAACGAGAAACATTAATCTAAACCAATATAATCGGAAAAATATTAAAATTATAAAATTATGTGCCCACGTATTACTTAATTTAAAATATGTATCCAAAACAAGTTGTATCTAAAATACTGAATACAGAGGTGGGTGGCAGCTGTCACTCCTGTATTATTTATTGTGCACTTACATAAGACAAATAGTACAATTATTGATATACTAGTTTTGCTAGGGCACTCCGGAACAATTCTACAGAACTTTTGTCAAACCATGTTCTGAGATTGGCTAGCCATGGTGTTCTTCTTCTTTCAGGAGTTCTTTTGCTATCTAATTTTCCTTGTAGGATACGCTGGAGAAGGTCATATCCGCGCTTGTTCCGCATAATATGTCCTAAGTACTGGAGTTTTCTGCATTTAACTGTTGTAACTAATTCTTTTTCCTTTCCCATTCTACGTAATACCTCAATATTAGTAATTTTCTCAGACCATGATATTCTCAAAATTCTTCTGTACAGCCATAGTTCAAATGCATCTAACTTATTCGAAGTGGCTTTGGTTAGAGTCCAAGTTTCGGCATCATACAAAAGAGTTGAGAACACGTAGCATCTCAGGAGTCGTATTTTTATGTGTAAAGAAAGGTTGTGACTCTTGAAAGTTGCATTAAATATTGAATCATTGAATTTAATACACTTCTGGCGTTACCAGTACGAAATTGTATTTCTTCCGCATTGTCCCATTGTTCTTTAACGGCGGTCCTAAGATATTGGTATTGCTGCACTCTTTCTATTCTAGTTTGATTAATACTTATGTAAGCTCCGGTGATGTCTTCCTTGCTTATGATAATTTAGTTTTGTTTGTATTTATATCAAGTCTGTATCTACTGCTAGACTCTGTTATTCTATCCATAAGTATCTGAAGGCCCTCAAAAGTGTCCGCAAAAACTATGGTGTCATCGGCATCACGTAAGTTGTTTAATCGTGTGCCGTTTATAGATATTCCTTCTTCTACCTCATTTAGAGCTTCTCTAAAGATGTACTCAGAGTAAAATTAAACAAGATGGGTGATAGAATACAACCTTGTCTCACCCCCCGCCGAATTTCAATCGGGTCTGTTGTTTCGCCATCAGTTTTGAGAACCGCTGTTTGTCTCCAATATAAGTTAGCAATAATTCTAAGGTCTTTGTCATCTACTCCTATTTCTTTTAAAATCCTAATCAGTATATCATGTCTAACACGATCGAAAGCCTTCTGGTAATCAACTAGACAGACAAACACATTACAGTTTACATCTCTTCATATTTGGAAGAGGACCTGTACACTGAATAATGCTTCTCTTGTGCCAACCACATTCAAAAACCCAAGCTGATTAGGTGCTATTTGTTCTTCATATAACCTATATATTCTCTTGTGAATAATCTTTTTAAACAACTTCAGAAGATGGCTCATCAGGTTTATTGTCCTATAGTCCCCACATGTTTTTACTCTTGATTTTTGGGTAAGGCAATAAACTCTAATTTTATCCAATCCTTAGGAGTTATACCTGACTTATATACTGAATTGAATATTACTGTGATCCATCTAACTTTTTCATCATCCAGTAATCTGATTAATTCGGAGTGTATTTGATCGGGACCTCATCGAACAGTATGTCTGGACACGTTCGATCTCCTATTTTGGGTTCCTGTTCTGCTCTAACGACATGAAATAGGTTTTTAGAAATCTCTCCCATACATGTTTTTTCTCCTCTATAGTAACAATTATTTTTCCATCTGGATCAACGAGTTTCCCAATGTTTTAAGTTGCCAAGAGTTGGTTACCGAATTTTATTTTGTGATATTTTTTTGTAGTATCTACAATTTGCAGTAGAAAGTAAACATTTTACAATGTTTTCAGCATCGTTTTATCGAGTTTCCATAAACAGAGACGGTAATAATAACAACATGGGCCTTAACCTAAAATTTATAATTTTTTAATATTTAAGTATTACATTTTGTTATAGTGACACCTGCCAAATATTAAGCCATAAACTGTCACACCTATTAAAATAAAAAGACCTTTTATAATCGGTAATTAGAGTTCATAAATAATGTCCTTGAGGTACTTTTTCCAAGTAGAAAAGTTGTAGAATTTCACTAAAGCAACCAAGTAAAATTCAAACCTAAAATTTTGTACGATAGCATAATATTAAATATGTAAATTTAAATTAATAATAATATGTTTTGTTTTTATATATTTACAGACAACAATATTATAGTTTTTGAAATTATGTCTATATAAACACATAGACATAATTTCAATTATAATAATTATTTCAATTATTTAATTTCATTGACAGATTATTGCAATAATATATACTTTATTTCTATTACTAAGCACCTTAGAACAACTTTATAATTTGTGTTTTTTACAAACGAAGATATTTAAAACTTTATCTGAAAAAAAGTGTTGGAATTTAGCTTTTACCTAGGTTGTTGACATAAAATATAAATATAAAACAAAAAGTATTGATATTGATATTATAAATTATATTGATATTACGGACTAGGGAAGAAGTTATATAGAATTATTATCATACATTAATTATTAGGGAAGATACTAAAACATAGAATCCACTATCCAAACAGTAGAAACGGATTTTTTGGACTATTATATTATTATACAGATAGATGTTACATTCGGATACTATTAATTTATACCAACCTAACCTAACCTGAAGACTGGACATACTTTTTTGGTCTGAAATACCTTAATTATTCCAATTATTTTAGTTAACAATTAACATAGCACAAATTATACGTTAAATTGTACATATTTCTAAAAATATGGTTTTGCGTCGAACTTGTTGAGTTTTAAGCATCAAACATTTTTTATTTAAGTAGATACTAGATAAACATTTTAGTACCTACATACAATAGTATATCATAATAGGTTTCATAAAAATCCGTTAGGTTTTCCGACGTTAAAAGTGTAAACCTTTTTTTACTACGCTATTAAGAATTATGCGGTTATTAATATACCAAACATTATGTGCTGTTTGATAAAGCAATACAAACTCGACAAGTACAGTTTTAACAACGTAGAACGAATACATATATAGCTTTTATGAAGTCAGTACAAGTTAGGCTGTATTGCTCGTCGCCCGAGACAATTTCCATACTAGTTAGTCTGAACTGGCTGTAATTATGTACAACTGCGAGTTAGACGGTACTAGCCTTTAACCCTTCACTGCATAATGTTCCATACATGGAACAATTATATTTATTGTTTATATCTGCTCATGCTATACATCTTTGATGCACAATGTTCCATATATGGTACAATTCTTTAATTAGCGTTTTCCATGAAACCAAAACTAAAAAAAAAATTTATTTTTATATTTTTAAGTAGTATTAAGTACATTTATAGCATATGGTTAAAAAAAAAATCATGCAGTGAAGGGTTAAATCATAAGTCAAATGTGAGTTAACGCGGACACGTAAAGTTATAACGTACACAGGCCGACTATTTTTTCGCATCCTTGATTAGTTGAAAAATATTCATGCGTTATGTTGAACCTTTATATCTTTCAGAAATTCTACGGGTGACGTCTTACAATATCATATTAAATCGATTGTTAGCTCACCCTACAATACTCGTTAATTGTTTCTTTGTCAGGTCTCGTGTAATGTATATTATCTTTATAACTGTTCCGCGGTTGTCGGAGCTGATGGGTAACGTGATAGTGTAAATGTATACTGCTCGACACAGGCTGGTAGGAAGGCATACGCCATTATACACATATACACACCGTGTTCTCCGTCGATGGTCGTGGTGATGTCCACTGTATACTGTCTGATCAACAAGTTGCCGGTACGCGTGTCGCCCGTACTCGTCGTCTTAGCCTGTGTGTAATGTTATTAGACTGTAGGTGCGCTACGTGAGTTGCCCACGTCGTCCGCGTGCCGTACCACATTTGACGGTTCTCAAAACCAAAAAAAAAAACGCGCCGGCAAAAACCGTTTGAGAGTACCGACTAAAAAAAAAAGGATACATCAAAAAGAGAGACCGGATACAAAGTTCCGTAAGTGTTTCAAAGACTACAGTAATTAAGACTACAGTATTTAACCTTTATAGAATTTTGAATTATAATAAAAAGTAAAACATACGGGGTGCGAGGTGCTGCTGCCTTTGTAGCAGCACCTCGCACCTCGGCTTCCACGACGAAAATGTATAACGTTGCTATTCTTCAATTTTAAAACACTATTGAACTTAAAAAAAGACCCGGGTGATACACGGAATTGGTCTTCGTCTGATCGACTAACTGGCTGAGCTAATGTGTTTATTGGACTAAAGCCCGTACAATTTAAAACTCAGACATCACCAGACAGATCATTTATAAATAAACGTTTCCTAACGTTTCTTCACGTTTCCTCAGTGGTATGGATTTTCTGAAACACAGAATTTCTACAATAGAATTTAAAAAAGTCTCAGTTGGTAGACAAAAATCATTTCTAAACGACCCGAGTTTAAGACCTAAAAATATTTCAATTGACATTTTTGTTTTATGTGCAAAAGCAAGATTATTTTTTAGACAGTTTTTTCAGAAGCAAAAATATACTTTATAATTAAAAAAATAAAATACAATATTAAAAAGCAATCTGAAATTACTTCTAATCAAAAAAGTTAACTTAAGCGCTTTAGGCTACCTTAATATTTGAAAGCTTGGAAAATATTTTAATTTTCAAAATTAACGCTTTTAAAAAAATGGCCCATATCTAAATGAATTAATAGATAAAAGCTAACGCATCAATGTGATATTAATAAATTCTGAAAGCCTTGCATAATAACTAACAATGAAGGATAACTTTTTTTCTCTATATTTGTATTCTATTAAAACTTTTTACATACGTTCTCGTATGCTAAAATACATTTATTTATAGGCTTAAAAAAATATAACGTATATAAATAACAAAAAAACAAACAAAGAATAGAAAATACATTACCAAAAAAAACAACGTTATTAAATTATATTTTAACATCCTAGTAATAATTCTTGTTATATATACCGTCGTTTAAACAAAATATTAATTTTAAACGAAATAAGTTTTCGCATAAAAAAAACGAAAGTGGAAATGATTATGCTACTAATATGAGGTACAAAATTACATATTATACATTTGCCCAATTTCTTTCAAATACCACCGCACGCTTTACCTCGGGCGGTTTACAAAATGTAGTGCTCATGTTTGAGGAAAAGTATTATATTATACTGTATTATCTCATATAAACCGCAATAATGTATCATAATAGTTTTTGTGTATACCGCCTAATTAAGGAAAAAATCTATTTGTTCTCGCTTTTTAACAGCGTAAGAAAAATACAATTTTAAGCGTTAAATAATTGTCTTGGAAACATCCAAAGGTTACCATCGATGGCCGATGGGTATCGCTGCCCAAATTCAGGACATCCCACTTAGAAAATAGTATTATATTAGTTATATATGATAATCATTATTGCGTTTAGACGTCAAAAACAATAGCTTTAACTTTTTTGTAAAATAAAATGTAAATAGATACCGTTCAAGCCGTTGTGAATGAAATGTTTGCGAATATTGCATTTCTTTGGAGGCCACACAACGGAAACGAAACGCATGACGGTTACGTTATAATAATGTTATAGGTAATTATATATTTGTATATATAATATATTTAATAAGGTAAACATAATGAGTAATGACTAACCGCGACGGACAACGGGAGATTAGAATTACATATTATTATTTTTATTATTAGTATCAAACTTGCCTATGTACGTCATGTACCGAAAAGCGATTCGACCTTGGATTCGTTGATGCGCCACACATTATCGTTATCACTGACCCAAATCGTATACCAGCGTTTTCCACAATTTTCCTTGACTAGATACTTACTTTAAGTTATTTTAACATAATATCCTTAGTATTAGTTGTTGGAACATTTCCAGGCCAGTTTCGAGAACCTTGTTCGGCAGCAAACGCAACATTGTGATTGACGTTTTGGCAAACCACCATAGGTAAAAATATTTCAAATAATATGCCTGATGAGTAATGTTATACCCTTTTGATGCTCATCAAAACTGATAACATACCGGTAATTTTATCATGATCTACCGGCAAGAAAAGCCAAGGCATTAACGTTTTAGAAAGTTAAAAGTTAACATTTAAATTAAGTGAGGGTCGCGTGAAAATAATTTTTTTTATTGCTTAGAAATTTAGTTTATCATCTGTAGAATGTTCTCTTAAATTTTCAGATTTAAATTTAAAGTCTAAATATACCTATAGTGAGCTTATATAGGCGCACTCTAGTGGCGCGTTCCAATCCGTGCTACACACATAGTTAACATATAAACATATTAACTATTAACATAACTATATTAATAGTAAATACTGTTTTTAAGAAATTTCGTATACAAAAAAAAGGTAATTTTTCGTTAAAATGATTCTGAATTTTTAATTAAAATTTTTTTCTAATTTTAGGTTCACGTAAAGGGTATGTACGTTTTTATACAGAAAAATGTTCTTTGAATTTTTTTTTTTTTTAAATACTTAGCATACTGAACCCTGCACGGCGCCAAATCGAATTACCTAATTCAAGCATCTGTAACGCCGTCATTTTTAATTTTATTGATATGAAATTTTGTTATAAAATGCTTTGAATGGTCAATTTCATGATTCACCACCCTTAAAGTATTACTTTTCACTGAACAATTATTTACTTACATTAGTTCATAATATAATCTTTATAGTTAAACATACTCCGAAAACCCGTATTACGATCAGTAACTTTGATTTTTCTTAAGTAATCAATTATACATTATTTCTAGCATTTCCTAAACTAATTATGCCACACAACTAGCGCCGAGCGCTTTTTGAAATAAACCCATATTCACCGCTAAACTTGAAAAATATGATAGAAATGTTATTTTTTGCAATCACACAAATTTTAAATATATATTTAACTAAATACTCAATACCAATACCATTTCAGAAAGTTGAACAAGGTAACTTTTTTTATCATTTTTAAAAAATAACATTAAACTTATTGTTTATCAAATTAAATTCAACATTTTTAGTTACTAAAATTAAGCCAGTTAAAAAAAACTCTTCCCAGCACTGCATGTTGATGTTAATCAATGAGAAATCCCCAAAATACTATTATGGCAATATATTGTATCATCTTTGATAATATATATTAATATTTACTTTAGGTCTGTGCGTCTGTCTTTTTAAAACAAATATTTTAGCTTCATTATATTTTACTATTGCACTTATTTATCAATAAGAAGTCTATATCATAGATGTTATTATCTTAAGTGTTACAATATGTATGTCACTTGTACTCCACCATGCCAGCAAAAACCGCACATTCTGGGGGGTCGAACATACAGTCTTTATAAGAGGCTAAACAAATTATCCAACGTTCCAGCTCAGCCACTAAATTTAAATATGTAGGTTAAAGTACTGTCGAACAATAATAATATTTTTAAAAAACAGTCATAACGTGTTACGTTATTACGTAGAGAATATTTTTTAGTAGGTACAGTAAAAGCAACACGACAGAACACCTGGGGCTCCATTTAATATTTTGTTGTTGTACATTTCCAAATAATGACTGACAAATACAAACATACATAGCACGAACCTTTTATTTTATGACTTAAAAGAGAAATACAAATATATTATTATTATTATGCAAAACAAGACAATAAATCAATACAAATACAATTTAGAACGGCTGTATTAGAACATATTTGAATGTTCTGCGTTTTGAGCAATCTTTTTTTGAATTAACTGAGTTTATATTATTTTGATTTGACGGTTCAGCGTTTGAGAGTGCTCACGACGCTCATTTACATAATTAAAATGACTGCATATTTGGCGCTTTACACTAAAAATGTCAATTACAATAACACGGTATTTGTATTATTCTTGCTTTCAATTAAGATTATATTTCATTGCCTGTTTTACCGAGAAAATCCAGATGCTCACCAAAAATAGACGATTAATATTATTTTTAATATTATTTAAAGTATAAATTGTATTGCTAAAATTACATTCTAGCATTTAAAACGGCGTTTTTTTATTAATTTAAAAAATAAATCCCAATTTTGTCAAACAAATACCTTCTTACCGGCTTATCCGTACCTACTTTAACTTAAAGTGTATAATTTACTATTTAGAGGTACTTTATTGTAATAGTAGCTTAATAACTACGATGCATTTCGTGAAATGCCAACGGTGCGGTGTCTCTCGAGATACGGGTTGCACTATTCCGATTTTAAGTACGTATTATCTTGCATTATGGTAAATTTCCCTCAGGATTACGATGTCGAGGCATTATTATAATGGTTTGGTATTACATTTTCCGTCTATATATTGATTGCCTGTACCAAGAAAATTAATATTCTGGAAAGGGGAGAATAGCATAATTTTTTCGCTTTTGTACAATCTTCTTGTTAAACTGTGGTGTTGTATACAGATATTTTTTTGTTTTTTCTCATTTTTGCACCACAACAAAGGTGCAGTCTAGTGTATTTATGTATTGCTTACTGTAGTTGTACACAGCCACTAGTCTTATATAGAAAATAATAAAAAAAGATAATATCACTGCCCGACTGGAAAAAAAAACGTCTAAGCTCTTTTTAATCGTTATTTGTATTTATTTTTTTAACTGTTAGAAACGTTTATACAATATACCGGGATTTAATAGATTTACGTACACAATTGATAAATCGATGGTTGATAGAAATACACATTTTGGCCAATTATTGTAAGCCTCTCATTATTTTTTCTAATCAAAAACTAACATTTAAATTTTTTTTATGTAACGATGGTTGACGTAACCCTCAAAACTTAAATTTTACAGGAGACACTAAAATCGCATGTGCATATTGATTTATGGACTAAAAAGTTTTTTTTAATAGATTTTAAAAATAATTTAAGTATAATTTATGTACTATTAGTTATCCTTTAAATTATATAACACTTAATAGTAATAATTATTATAACTGATAGTACTTATTATTATTATTATGCATAATGGC